TCATATCCCAATAAATTCAAACCACCAAAGATATAAGCTAACAAATTACTTAATGAACTATGACAATGCCCAGTTAGGGTCAAAACATTGAAAACCAAAAAGGATAATTAATGCAAATTGTACACAAAGGAAATTCTATGCATGTATTTATAAGAAAACAAGAATACTTTGGATAATTCATCTTCACAATGATTGCTTATAACCTAACTTTTGTTCAATGGATTTATGGACTTATTGGAAATTGCTTACAACATAAATGCATTTAATGATCTTAATAGTGTGAAAAAGTTATGGAATGTCACATGCAGTCCAGGAACTATAGTTTGTCTATGGTTGATTTAGATCTTTGCTTGTTTTAATATAAATCTTTTTTTGTACAAATAATTATTGTACTAAAGAAATCTTCATTTATGTACTGATTAAAACCATCAATTTAAGCTGTTTCCAATAATTAAAAAAAAAAATCATTCAAATAGAGAAAATTTCTACAAATCATCATCATTGATTAAATTTGATGCTAATTTTCAATTTTGATAAAGTATTAACAAAATGTTCCAGAAACATTTATCTATGTAATAATTTACGGAAAGAACTTTTTTATTCAACCAGTATACAGTTGTTTTCACAGATTGAGAAAGAATTGAATTATTAAATGCTATCGGTATTAATAAGAAAAGTAATATCCTATGCATTTAAATATTTTATATTAGCTTAAGAAAATACATTTTTACGATCAGTATCATTATCTTCTATGCATTTGTAGCTAGAACTATTTTAAGATGACCAAGACAAAACCTTTCTCACTTGTTTCTAGTACTCGTGTATAAACAGCTAGAAACAAGTGAGAAAGGTTTTGTCTTGGTCAGTATCATTATCAATTATGATTATATTAACAAACAAACATTAAAGAGATGTTTTCATTTCACTTATCAAAACAGAATTTTAAAATAAAATTTCTTAAAAAATTTTAAAGAATAATAATTATTTTATCATCTAACAACCAAAAAGAATGAATGTTTTGATTTATCTACATATTTATCACATTCTAAAATTTTGCAAAATATTAACTTTGGGGAAAAAATATATTGTTTAATATTACAGAAATGTGAGATAAGCCAGGGGTACCAAACTGGAATACCACTTAATCGGCTCAAAATCGCTAGATTTGATCTCTTAACTTTTAAGGCGGCTTTTTAGAAAGATGTGGATTAGACTTTGCAGTCTATATCCTTGTCAGGATTTTTGACACCAGTTAATCAGTTTTCTTACACGTGGATTAACACGCGTTTACGAATCAATACGGAGAGGATGAAATCTTTAAATTCAGACATTAATGAGACCTTTCTTGAATATAAAATATCGAATATTTAATAAAACAAAGAAAAATATACAACTTAATGTAGAAGACATGGTTGATGTATCTTCAAATTCTGTGTGTAGTGTCTTTGCAATCCAAACAATAATTTTGGTTTATTTAAAACATTTAACGTTTTCTAACTAATTTCTGTTTGATCATCTACCAAAATTATTGTTTGGATTGCAAAGATACTACACACAGAAAAATATACAAATTGGACCTTCAACATATTAATATGGATATCGCGGAGAGAGAGATCACATTTCGATTCAAAATCATACTACCTCACTAATTATATTCTTCTGTATTCTTTCTATTCGGATCGATGTGAATGTTCATTATTTCTCTATTTCTTCTCTTTCAATTGTTCATGTCCCTTTTTAATTCTTAGGCGGCACTGCAATCAATACTTTCTTCTACTTAGGAACTTAGAAACAAACTTTGTATGAACTTCGGGAGTTGGTTATGGGTGTTGGCCGTGGGGAGATAATATGGAATACATCCTTCTCTTGTGGAATTTCGTGGCATACTCCCCGAACAATACTCAAGAATCCCCTTTTTTGATGTTTTTCTCCAATGAGAAAATTGTATTATTCCCAAGTGATTAGGAAGAGTGGAGGTTTACAGAGGGGTAACTGGACTGTATGTGACTGAAAATTTGTGAAGATAAGGGAAAACAAAAAGGATGTTGAACTTCCGTCGAAAAGAAAGTATGTTTTACCAGTTTCCTCAATTTTTAACTTAAAAATTTGTAATTAAAAATTAGGAATATTATTTCCAAAAATTATGGATTTGACACAAAATTTCAATTAATAAAGGAGGGTGTTCAAAATCTCACAGAAATCTTTCTATAAAATCAAAAGTCAAACTATAGTTTTTTTTATATATATAAAGATTTTACCTGTTAAGGCTGCAAGACTAGCAAGCATAAGTTCCCTCTCTTGATTATCGTATATTTTTACATCAAAAATGCCTTTTCTCACGGTGTCTGAAACTTTTGATCCTAAAATTAAAAAAAATATATATATTAAACTGAAATGAGAAAAAAACATAATAATATATTAGTAGAGAAGAAAACATATAAAATATAAATAAAACTATATATGTAATACTAGTTCATATAACTTAATACATACAGATAAAATAAAACAACCAATTTTGCTTTACTATTTTTGAAATGAAAATCTCAAAATTTTATGAAAAAACCAGAGATTTCTAAAAAACTTGATTAGAATTTAATATAATATTAATAACTTGTGTTGTTCCAACTGATGAAGACCTACATGAATAGGTTAAAAATATTTTTGGTCCATTAAAATTTCTTGCTGGAGTTATTCAAGGTGTGCTTATGTTGTTCAATATTAATAGTGCTTGATAAAATATCATCATCTTGAATCATTATGAAACCTAGTATAATAATAGTTTTTACAGATAATTTCTAAAACTTATTGAGTAAATATATTATTTAGAAGTACACATTGCTTAAAAACTTTCCATATAATAAAAAGTCAATCGTGTTACCAAAACTTCGTTTTATAAACACAAACCTGTATTAAACTTTCTAAAAAGTACAATATATTGATCCTTTTATTTGCACACTTTTTATTGTAATATAAAAAAAATGCATACATAAATTTTGTTACCACTTAGGAGCCTTTTGAAAAAATTCCCATGTAAAAACAGATGCAGTTATATCTTGTATATTAAAACTTATATTTAATCTAATTAAATAATTTTCAAAACAAAATAAAGTGGAACTTCTATACTCATCATTAATCTGTTCCTAAGAATCTAACAAATATGGAAAATGATGAATATAGAAACAATTTTTCTCACAATAAATAACTGATATTCAATTAATCCATTCCCATTCTAAAAAAACAGATACAAGAATAAAAATTTTATTGTTTGTAAAACTTTATCTTTATTGTACTAAATAAATACAGTATGGTGGTAGAAGAGGAAGAAGATTAAGGTTATTGTTAAGAACACATACCATCAATTAAAACATTAGGTAATTCCAATTATGATCTTGGCATATTAAATTCTTTGGTTAAGTTGTAAACATGAGAGGTTATAGTCAAAGTTTTTGTCTTTAAAACCTGAATGTTGAACATTGAGCGTCGCCATTTTGTATGCCTGAAAGTTTGACAATGGCCTTTAGAACGTCACTGGAATCATGCTCGGCGTTCCAAATGCCATTATCAAACTTCTAAGCTTTCAAGATGGTGGTGCTCAATGTTCAACATTCACGTTTTAGAGATGAAAAACTTCAGCCACAACCTTTCCACTTTGTCTACTTTCTTAGAACAACAATAGAGATAATAAAATTATTGCTAACAGCTTTCCTTTTTTGCTGTTTTCTTCAGTGTGCTTTGTTGGAGCCATTGGAACTTGAGTTTTTGAAAATAATCAACACGAGAAACTAAGAACACATGACGACCACATAAAGCAGACTGATTAACTACAGCTAGCTGACATCATGTTGCCAACTCAAAATTCAAATTTATAGCTAGACATTTTAATAAAAATATTCAAATCATATTGTTTCCATTAAAACTGTTTTTTTTTATACCTAGATTGCATTATAAAATTGCTAGGCTGTTATAATTTAGGTAATTTGCATAGCTAGATTTTTCATAAATCCACTAAATTTAGCAAAAAATTACCTAAATTGGCAACACTAATCTAACACAGCTAGCTTATGGGAGCAAATGTGCAATTGTAGCACCACTGCTGGTGTTGGAAATGATGACAAATATGGAGGAAAAGAAAGATCATCAAAATATGATGAATATCAAGGTTCCACTTTATTCAATATGAGAAGTTTAATAAAACTAATGTTTTCAGCCTTAAAAAGTCTTCAGTTTATCACTATAGCTTAAGTAACATTTAGCACTATCATACTAGTGAAAATTTAACCAAGTATCAGGTATTAAGTACAAGCTAATATACAGGTAATCAGGTACCCAAAAGGATTACAGGTATTTCTCGTATAACATGATAGTTATGTTCCAAAAAAAAGCTGTGTCATGCAAATCCATGCTATACAAAACAAAGGACTAATGCANACATACAAACAGATTTCTATTAAATTTATAATTCTGCTGTATAAAAATTGAATTTTTGCAGATTCTGCCAGTTGATTATGAAATGTTTATAAATCAACTATTTTCTTTATAAAATTGAAAAAATATTTTAAACAAGCCGACATTGACAGAGAAGTTTAATAAAATGATGATTTGTTTGCTTAATGTTAAGTGTCACTTAATTTAACCTACTAAAATATTTTTTCTGTACAATTTAAACTTATATTTTATATCTCAAAATTTAATTAATATTTTATTTCCTTACAGCTTTCTTCCATAAAATTTCAATATTACTAAAATAGAATAAAAATATTCATATTTTTACAAGTGTAGATCAAATCCAATATTAACTTCCAATTCTTGATAAACTTCAGGCATTCATATTGTGTTTGATATGAATATCTGAAGTTGAACCACTGAAAAAGTACTAAGGATCATTTGAAACTGTTTTTTGTGCTCCAACAGAATAGGAAGTGGCAATCGTGCAGATTAATTTTATAAATAACTTAAAAATAAATTCTCATACAAATGTATAAAATAAATGAGATATTTACCTAGTATTACTTTACGTTGATGTGGTACAACAACCGTAAAGACAATGATCCCAACTATAAGTCCAAGACCTACTGCTATGATTAATGCACCCCACCAAGGGACAACATTAAACTTCAGCACTAAAGAAATTTTATAGCATTTTTAGGCCAATTATTATTAAATAAATAATTAGCATATTTATTTATTTATGGTAAACATAATTACTTTCGGGTCCATCGTGAACAACGGAAAATATATTAATCAAGATAGTGGTACCATAGAAAATTGGTAATGATCTCAGACCTGGTTCAAGAGGATTTTTCTGAAAATAATTTTAATAATTATAATTATATGATGAGTTAAAAAATCCTCATTTTTCGCATTAATTAAAATACAGTGGTGCCTCGTAAAACGTACGCCTGGAATAACAAATGCTGTGAACAACGGACTTTCCATTCGGCAGTTACGTGAGGTAAACAACGGTCTTTCTGTGAACAAATGCAAATGATGTTTCCACTCTTTTGCCGTTGCCAATGACAATCTGCTATTTTTATAATATATTAGTATTATTAGAATATATTATTAGTATATCTGAAGTACAGAGCTCCCATTGGGATTCAGATTGCTCCCTTGTTTATTACATACATCACTCAGTACAGGGTATTTACATTTATTCAAGTGTTGTGCAAATCATGGCTTCTAAAAAAATAGAAAGGTGATTTTAATTGAAACAAAGCAAGACATCATCAGATGGAGTGAAAGTTGACAAAAACTTCCTTGTCAAATGGAGAGAGGTTAAGGAGTTTACCAACACTCATTATCCAAACAGAGCTGAGGCCAACAGGATCAATGATCTCTACAATGACACCCTTGCCCGTCATTTCCAACAGGTGTTGAAGAAGAGAGAGAAACAGACTACCTTGGACATGTTTTTCAAGAAGCAATCTGCCAAAAAACAAAGGATGGAACAAGAGGAGATGACCCTGCAAGCTCCAGAAGCCTCTCCTGAATCTAACTCCAATTAAAAAGCAATAAAAAGAGACCTGCTGCAATGTGTAAAAAGTCTGTATCTGTATGAATGTGTAAAGAAAGTGTTCCTCCACCTCCTCCACACATCATCTGACTACCCAGCATAATTGGTGACTGCTCCATTTTCATTTTTTTTTTTTAACGGTACAGTACAGTCATTTTATGCTGTGGAACGAATTATATGTTTTAACATGCATTTCTATGGGAAAATGCATTTCGTATAACGGACTTTTCACTTAACGGACGTGCACCTGGAACGGATTAAGTACGTTATATGAGGCACCACTGTATTTTTATATTTCAATTTTATTTTTCTATATAAATACAGAATAAATTATCTAAACCAACTGGAAAATAACTAGTTATGATGAAAAATTTTTGATGTTATAATAATGACATTATTCCTCCTGCATAAAATACTGAACATTAAGATGTACTCTTAAATATACAAAATAGATAATTTAAAATATTTTTGATAATTAAATTGTGCAAAACTATAAACAATATAATCAGCTATTGAGTAAATCTGTATAAGTTGAATAATTTTGTATCATTCAAGTATAGGTGAATGTATGCCTAGTAAATGGTGCACATTGAAAAAACTGACTAATATAACAACACTCAGAACATATCAATAATAAACATGTGACCCAATTTTAGATTTACGATTCCCTAGATAAGCCTTGAGAAGTCCTTTCATGTAAATTTATAGATTGTAAAGTTATATAACATGATACTTGATATACAAATGTTCTAGCTAGTACTGGATTCTAAGTATGAAGCTAAAACTGAATATGAATAAAGTCTCACATGTGTGCAGATAAGAACATATCTGCACACATGTGAGACTTTAAAAGCACCAAGTCCTAAGCAAAAATTAGGCTATGAATACAACAGTCATTGCTAAGATCAACACCAATATTAGTCAAATCTAGAATAAATCAGCAGATAGGAAAGGCATGTATTATTAATACAAAAGATTTAAAATCACTTAATTAATATCAATGTAAAGCAATGAATCTACTTAAGATGACAAAATATTCAAATCATTAGTAAGTTTTATAACCAATCAACAGTAAAACTATAAAATCTTTATTACAGAATTAATGTTTAGTTAATTATCAATCACTATAGTCTGTCTATAGAAGAAATCAACTTAACAGCAATGTCATATGCAATATTGTTTCAGTTAAACCAATCAGCACATTCCCTAATGATGCTGGCACTTTTCACTTAATATGTCAAACAATATGTGAATTTTATTTTATTTTCTCTCACTAGATGAAAGAACTACTTTTCCATTAATTATGTTAATATTTTATAGTATTCATTAACTGTAAAGAATCATGCATTTAACTACTACTATAGCAAACTTCCTTTATTTCAATACCAGAATACGAAACTTCCATAACACTATTTATAATGGAGGCGATGCATTTAACAAATAAGGAAGAAACTGGAAGCAACTTGCCACAACTAAGTGATCAATGGCTGATGCTTGTTGGTTAATACCAAGTTGATTCTTTCCACAGACAGACTATAATCAACTTCTTTCTCAGCAGAAATAACACTAACTGCAAGCATTTTCTGAAAACTGATATATATTTTTTTAATATCCAATTTTCTTCACTATTTTTAATTATTCCTCTTGCTGCTCTCAGAGCTTATATCTCTTTCTGTATTAATTAAAATATATGTTATAATTAAAAAGAATAATAATATAATTTAACTGATTAGTTAATAACAGTTAAATTTATGTTGATCTGATTTCTAAAAAATAAGTTTATTCATATTAGCATTTTTATTAATTAGAAATTTTACAGATGTTTATATTTGAATTAGTTTGTGATTGAAACATTGTATTTCAAATAATAATAATAATAATAATAATAATAATAAAATAAATACTAAATTCTAAAATTCTTGCTCAAATTGAATAAATATTCAGTATTCATGTCTGTTTATATTTGATGAAAGTGAGCTTGTTCATATAATAAATAAATAATTATTCATATATTAAATTATTTTTATCAGAATATTAGGTAAACTTTATATGATATAATTAATAAATAATTCAATAAAATATAAAATAAAAAGTACCTTTTTCAAGATAAAATGCCTGATACTCAAAAATATAAGTGAAGACACAATTCCTGACATAATAGGTGAAATAAACCATGATGCCACTTGAAAGTACAAAATATTTTAAATATTTAACTAAAAATTATCATTATTTCAAATAATTTTTACAAAAATTATGTATCAATAACAACATAATGAACTACTCAATATTCTATAAATATATCAACATCTTAACCACGTAATTTTTTAGATAATGTTAAATACAATTTCTTGAAAGTTTAATAAACTCTGCACTTTAGTTGGATATATTTGTATTGCTATCACATGTTATTTAATAGTTTGAATATTGTGTTTACCAACAAATTTAATTTATATAATCTAATTAAATTTCTTTTTTTTTCAATTAAAAACTTATTCCTATTAGAGGAGAGGGGAAAAAGATTGCATGGTTGTAATGCAGTTATTAATAAAACATATTTAAATTATTGTATTTTGTGTGGATTACGTGTGATTATCTGTTTAAAAGATAATTTGAAAAGGAAATTTGAATTACAGTGTTGAGCAGAGGGGAGCGCTTGGATCGTCAAGTCTGTTGACGACTTTTTTCTCTCTGCTTCACCAAAGGCATTTTTCTTGTTAATTACCTTAAAATATTTTTTTTGTTCGCTATAATAATTAATTATAAACTGATTTTGCTACTATTCTAATGTCTGGCATAGAATCTAACCCTGGACCTCTACAGAAAATTCCTACAAAAAGAGGAAGACCACCAGACTTTTTTATGTATATGTGAACCGCAGGGGAGGTAAGGATCAGTCGTACCTCCTTGTACAGACAACAGGTCATTAAACCTGCTCACTGTCAGGATGGTTAGTTTACGATAAAAGTCCTGAGGGTTGGGACTCTCAAATGTCGGTCGAGTGGAGGGACAGTATTTGGGGTCGACGATAAGGTGAAGGCCGTATATGAGTAAAGGAGTCTACCATTTTAACAAGTATAACAAGGATTTATTAAAATAATCAAAATTGACAAAACTACTACACAAATCTTGACATTAAACTGCCTAATAGCTTGAGAGAGAGAGTTTACACGTTATTTTTCATACTTCTTTGTAGGTTTCCGTGATGATTAAGGAACATAGGCACAGAAGTAGCCCATAAAAGTCTTTGATCCAAATGAGCACAAATATAAGAGTTCGCGACTCTGGCAATGAATGAATATCAATATTAGAGGATCGGAATAGCGGCAGGTCCGGAGATTCGACTCGATATCGTCGGTCCGGCTTTCAATAAGAGACTCCCCCGAGAGGGGGTAAGAATGGTCTTTTATAGCTTTTTGTGGGGAATTTCCATCACGTGATCAGATGTTCTATGAGCTAAAGGTTATAGGTGTTCCAGGGACCTAAACAAGTGACAAATTTTGGATGCTAACTATAAACTTTTGTGCAAGTTGTGCTGCAAGTTATTCGAGGACAATAGAATGTTGATGGTTAGGACAGGAAGGTTTACACATTCCCGGATAAGATCGTTTTTCCTCTAATTCATTACATAACCAAGGAAAAAGATAATTAAAGTTTTAGTTAATAAAATTCCGGATCTCACATATATTTTTTCTATCTCTGCTAAAATTATTTGTTTAAAAAAAAACAAAATAAGATGTAAAACAAACTACTAGTTTTTTTTCATGTATAAAATAACCTCCCTGTAACAAGGATTTTTTTCTTTAGTACAATAAAGCTTTGATTGATATTGATTGTGTTGAGCAGGTTATTCACATTCATGAAATTCAGCAAATAAAGTCAAATTAAATTGCACGATCTCTAGATGTACAGAAAACTAAAAATTTTAATATACTGTAGCGTCGCTATAATCTGACATCAGTTCTATTTTCATACTCTTCTGCATACATAATAATTTTTGTTCTAATGCTGCATCAAAATGTTATATTAAAGGAATTTCATAAGTTGTAAAGAAATTTTACGTAAAATGCTCATAAGCAACAAAGATCATTTGAACTGATGTCATCATTGATTAATATGAATTTATTATTATTGATAATGACCAAGTGATTGTGATAACTATTGATTATTTTAGAATGTGAATGTCAGATACATCAAACAGTACATGTACCTATATTTTTGATCAAGGTAAAAATAGATAAAGAAAAAAGTCTTAGAATAAAGGAAATATGTTATATTAAAATTTATCTATTAATATTCATATCAATAAATTATTAACAACTTATTAGCTTCATTTTATATGTAAATAAAAGTTTCAACATATGTTTAATCTGAATTTCAGTAAGTTAAAAGAAAGAGAATAATCACATTAATTAAGAAGCATAATTTCTGTTGCTATCTAAAATTATAAATTAATTTTCATAAGGTTTGATTTACATTACTATATTTCTATTTAAATCAAGTCAATATATAGATAACATTATAATCATTTCAAAATAAGAATTTTATTTAGAACATACCAATTGTTCCCATAGTTTTCCATCTGATCCCAGCAACTCCTTTAGAAACTAAAGAAAATCCTAATATTGCTCCAACAATGCTGTGTGTGCCCGATATCGGAAGACGTAAAAATGTTGCAAGAATGTTCCATGCTGCACTTCCTATCATACAATGTAGTACAGAACTTTTTATGAAATATATTATTAGATTCACAAATGACTATGACTATTTAGTTATATTAAAGATAAAAAGAATAAGTTTTAAAAGTTATTTGTTAAACTAATGACAAACTTAAATAATAATTCTAAATTACATGAGTAATGATACAATGAATATCTTAAGAACTTTTTACCTAAATTTAAATAGTTTATTCTTTTTAGTTCAAAAGTTTATTGTTATATTTTATATAAACTAACTTTAAAAAGCAGTATGGCCAATATTTGTTAAAATTACATATTTATCTAATTTACTGATATGTAACTTAACATGAATTTATAAACATAAAATCATATCCCAATAAATTCAAACCACCAAAGATATAAGCTAACAAATTACTTAATGAACTATGACAATGCCCAGTTAGGGTCAAAACATTGAAAACCAAAAAGGATAATTAATGCAAATTGTACACAAAGGAAATTCTATGCATGTATTTATAAGAAAACAAGAATACTTTGGATAATTCATCTTCACAATGATTGCTTATAACCTAACTTTTGTTCAATGGATTTATGGACTTATTGGAAATTGCTTACAACATAAATGCATTTAATGATCTTAATAGTGTGAAAAAGTTATGGAATGTCACATGCAGTCCAGGAACTATAGTTTGTCTATGGTTGATTTAGATCTTTGCTTGTTTTAATATAAATCTTTTTTTGTACAAATAATTATTGTACTAAAGAAATCTTCATTTATGTACTGATTAAAACCATCAATTTAAGCTGTTTCCAATAATTAAAAAAAAATCATTCAAATAGAGAAAATTTCTACAAATCATCATCATTGATTAAATTTGATGCTAATTTTCAATTTTGATAAAGTATTAACAAAATGTTCCAGAAACATTTATCTATGTAATAATTTACGGAAAGAACTTTTTTATTCAACCAGTATACAGTTGTTTTCACAGATTGAGAAAGAATTGAATTATTAAATGCTATCGGTATTAATAAGAAAAGTAATATCCTATGCATTTAAATATTTTATATTAGCTTAAGAAAATACATTTTTACGATCAGTATCATTATCTTCTATGCATTTGTAGCTAGAACTATTTTAAGATGACCAAGACAAAACCTTTCTCACTTGTTTCTAGTACTCGTGTATAAACAGCTAGAAACAAGTGAGAAAGGTTTTGTCTTGGTCAGTATCATTATCAATTATGATTATATTAACAAACAAACATTAAAGAGATGTTTTCATTTCACTTATCAAAACAGAATTTTAAAATAAAATTTCTTAAAAAATTTTAAAGAATAATAATTATTTTATCATCTAACAACCAAAAAGAATGAATGTTTTGATTTATCTACATATTTATCACATTCTAAAATTTTGCAAAATATTAACTTTGGGGAAAAAATATATTGTTTAATATTATAGAAATGTGAGATAAGCCAGGGGTACCAAACTGGAATACCACTTAATCGGCTCAAAATCGCTAGATTTGATCTCTTAACTTTTAAGGCGGCTTTTTAGAAAGATGTGGATTAGACTTTGCAGTCTATATCCTTGTCAGGATTTTTGACACCAGTTAATCAGTTTTCTTACACGTGGATTAACACGCGTTTACTAATCAATACGGAGAGGATGAAATCTTTAAATTCAGACATTAATGAGACCTTTCTTGAATATAAAATATCGAATATTTAATAAAACAAAGAAAAATATACAACTTAATGTAGAAGACATGGTTGCTGTATCTTCAAATTCTGTGTGTAGTGTCTTTGCAATCCAAACAATAATTTTGGTTTATTTAAAACATTTAACGTTTTCTAACTAATTTCTGTTTGATCATCTACCAAAATTATTGTTTGGATTGCAAAGATGCTACACACAGAAAAATATACAAATTGGACCTTCAACATATTAATATGGATATCGCGGAGAGAGAGATCACATTTCGATTCAAAATCATACTACCTCACTAATTATATTCTTCTGTATTCTTTCTATTCGGATCGATGTGAATGTTCATTATTTCTCTATTTCTTCTCTTTCAATTGTTCATGTCCCTTTTTAATTCTTAGGCGGCACTGCAATCAATACTTTCTTCTACTTAGGAACTTAGAAACAAACTTTGTATGAACTTCGGGAGTTGGTTATGGGTGTTGGCCGTGGGGAGATAATATGGAATACATCCTTCTCTTGTGGAATTTCGTGGCATACTCCCCGAACAATACTCAAGAATCCCCTTTTTTGATGTTTTTCTCCAATGAGAAAATTGTATTATTCCCAAGTGATTAGGAAGAGTGGAGGTTTACAGAGGGGTAACTGGACTGTATGTGACTGAAAATTTGTGAAGATAAGGGAAAACAAAAAGGATGTTGAACTTCCGTCGAAAAGAAAGTATGTTTTACCAGTTTCCTCAATTTTTAACTTAAAAATTTGTAATTAAAAATTAGGAATATTATTTCCAAAAATTATGGATTTGACACAAAATTTCAATTAATAAAGGAGGGTGTTCAAAATCTCACAGAAATCTTTCTATAAAATCAAAAGTCAAACTATAGTTTTTTTTATATATATAAAGATTTTACCTGTTAAGGCTGCAAGACTAGCAAGCATAAGTTCCCTCTCTTGATTATCGTATATTTTTACATCAAAAATGCCTTTTCTCACGGTGTCTGAAACTTTTGATCCTAAAATTAAAAAAAATATATATATTAAACTGAAATGAGAAAAAAACATAATAATATATTAGTAGAGAAGAAAACATATAAAATATAAATAAAACTATATATGTAATACTAGTTCATATAACTTAATACATACAGATAAAATAAAACAACCAATTTTGCTTTACTATTTTTGAAATGAAAATCTCAAAATTTTATGAAAAAACCAGAGATTTCTAAAAAACTTGATTAGAATTTAATATAATATTAATAACTTGTGTTGTTCCAACTGATGAAGACCTACATGAATAGGTTAAAAATATTTTTGGTCCATTAAAATTTCTTGCTGGAGTTATTCAAGGTGTGCTTATGTTGTTCAATATTAATAGTGCTTGATAAAATATCATCATCTTGAATCATTATGAAACCTAGTATAATAATAGTTTTTACAGATAATTTCTAAAACTTATTGAGTAAATATATTATTTAGAAGTACACATTGCTTAAAAACTTTCCATATAATAAAAAGTCAATCGTGTTACCAAAACTTCGTTTTATAAACACAAACCTGTATTAAACTTTCTAAAAAGTACAATATATTGATCCTTTTATTTGCACACTTTTTATTGTAATATAAAAAAAATGCATACATAAATTTTGTTACCACTTAGGAGCCTTTTGAAAAAATTCCCATGTAAAAACAGATGCAGTTATATCTTGTATATTAAAACTTATATTTAATCTAATTAAATAATTTTCAAAACAAAATAAAGTGGAACTTCTATACTCATCATTAATCTGTTCCTAAGAATCTAACAAATATGGAAAATGATGAATATAGAAACAATTTTTCTCACAATAAATAACTGATATTCAATTAATCCATTCCCATTCTAAAAAAACAGATACAAGAATAAAAATTTTATTGTTTGTAAAACTTTATCTTTATTGTACTAAATAAATACAGTATGGTGGTAGAAGAGGAAGAAGATTAAGGTTATTGTTAAGAACACATACCATCAATTAAAACATTAGGTAATTCCAATTATGATCTTGGCATATTAAATTCTTTGGTTAAGTTGTAAACATGAGAGGTTATAGTCAAAGTTTTTGTCTTTAAAACCTGAATGTTGAACATTGAGCGTCGCCATTTTGTATGCCTGAAAGTTTGACAATGGCCTTTAGAACGTCACTGGAATCATGCTCGGCGTTCCAAATGCCATTATCAAACTTCTAAGCTTTCAAGATGGTGGTGCTCAATGTTCAACATTCACGTTTTAGAGATGAAAAACTTCAGCCACAACCTTTCCACTTTGTCTACTTTCTTAGAACAACAATAGAGATAATAAAATTATTGCTAACAGCTTTCCTTTTTTGCTGTTTTCTTCAGTGTGCTTTGTTGGAGCCATTGGAACTTGAGTTTTTGAAAATAATCAACACGAGAAACTAAGAACACATGACGACCACATAAAGCAGACTGATTAACTACAGCTAGCTGACATCATGTTGCCAACTCAAAATTCAAATTTATAGCTAGACATTTTAATAAAAATATTCAAATCATATTGTTTCCATTAAAACTGTTTTTTTTTATACCTAGATTGCATTATAAAATTGCTAGGCTGTTATAATTTAGGTAATTTGCATAGCTAGATTTTTCATAAATCCACTAAATTTAGCAAAAAATTACCTAAATTGGCAACACTAATCTAACACAGCTAGCTTATGGGAGCAAATGTGCAATTGTAGCACCACTGCTGGTGTTGGAAATGATGACAAATATGGAGGAAAAGAAAGATCATCAAAATATGATGAATATCAAGGTTCCACTTTATTCAATATGAGAAGTTTAATAAAACTAATGTTTTCAGCCTTAAAAAGTCTTCAGTTTATCACTATAGCTTAAGTAACATTTAGCACTATCATACTAGTGAAAATTTAACCAAGTATCAGGTATTAAGTACAAGCTAATATACAGGTAATCAGGTACCCAAAAGGATTACAGGTATTTCTCGTATAACATGATAGTTATGTTCCAAAAAAAAGCTGTGTCATGCAAATCCATGCTATACAAAACAAAGGACTAATGCAAAACATGGGGTTAGGTTCCAAAAGTAAGCAAAACTATTCTGTTTTGTTACTAAGAGAAATACGTTTATTAAAGCAATCAATAATTTATTTCTTATCAATAATCAATTAACAATCACAAAAATACTGCATTACACACTAATATTCATTTTAGTTAAACAAGGGCGTTTTCTTTTTATAAAGTATTGTTGTCATCTCAGCTTTTTTGTTGATCTTAATTAGAAGTATCAGCAATATTTTTATATTTTTTATTTTTATCATAAATTTTTTTTTTGGATGACGAAATAAAAATATGTTATTAATTGATAATCTGTTCTAGTGGGTTGTGTTTCTTCAGTCGCATACCAAGTGACTTTTCTCCAGAATTTGTATTTGAATACCAAGATACCACCCCATTTCATTTGTCATTTCACAAATGATTATAGAAGTACCTTGCAGTGGCGTAGCATGGGTGTCAGTCGCCCGGGGCAAAGGAAAATTTCACCACCCCCTTATTTAGGTATCTCAATTTAAAAGACTAAAATTCAGTTTCGTCACTGAATAATGAAAACTTCCGTGCTTATTTCAATCAGTCCAAATTGTAGGTGTGACAAAAATATGAAATAAAATGGTTCAAATTTTTACAAGATATTATTATTATTATTTATTGTGAAATTTTGCTGCCCCCTAAAAGTGCCACCTGGGGTGAGCCACCCCCACTATGCTACGCCACTGGTATCATGATGTATGAGGATACCTGTATCTGTATACACATGAAAAATCATACACAAGTGGAATAACTTTTAAAACGTCTCAATTACAGAAAATGTCAGCTCATGGCTCTCTAATATATAGGTGCTGAGTAAAATAATTAGAAGCAATATTAGAAGAGACCCACTTAAAACTTATATTCACACTTGTACCACTGTGGATATATCTACTAGCATTGTGGATGAAGAGAAAAACTTTAGAAATTGTTTATACATTTGTGTAAGTACATTTGACATACATATAGCAATCATAATAAAATATAAATGTTTTAATTGAAATAAATTAATTCAAGATTCAAAATTTTTATCCTTTTCATATTAACATTTACAGGTCATGACGTACTCCGCACCTTTGCTCTGATTCAGTAACTAATTCCTGCAATGTGACCTAATTACCATATCTCCTAGTCTGATGAAATGCTTGAGCCAGAGAAGTGCTAGCTTAAGCATTTCATCAAATTAGGAAACATGGTGGCTGCACAAGTGGAACTATTCCGAATGGGAAGTGTGATAATGGGAACTTGGTCTTTTTGCAGTATCTTGTGCAAAGCTTAGAATATGGCAGTAGTATGCACCATTTTTGGTGGCACTGTGGGACAAGAAATCCACATGAATTATGTCAAAACAGTCACAGAATACTGTGACTATTGCCTACAGATAGAACATGTTGAAACATTTTAAAGAGGCAAGTCAGTGTGTTTCCATTGTTTGGATGCTTGTTTCAATTCAGGAGTGATGAACCCAAGTTTCTTCACAGGTTATGATATAGTACAAGAAATTCTGACTTTCATCATCAAAATGTTGCTTCAACTAAATGCATATTTGCAATTTCCCATTCCAGTAAAACAATGACAGTTGCTTGGTATCTATAGTGCAGTAACTTTTCTGAAGTGAAGATGATCATGAATAAGTGTTAGGTGTATTGACAGAAAGACCAGTTTCAGCTGCAAGTTCATGGCATATCCATCAATTATTCAAAATCAAATGTTTGACATGCTAGATGTTCACAGGAATGAATGTAACTGCTGTGCAACTGCCATGGCCAGGGTTGTTGCTCACAGATATAAGATCCTCCTGAAAATGTTTATACCATTCAAAGGCTTTACTCTAGCTTAGTCTCATCACCATACTTAATTTACAACCTTTGGTAAATTTCAGCCATTTTAATGCCTTCTTTAACAAGAAACTTCATTACAATACACTGTTCCATATGGATACTGATGCTGCTGTCTGCCATCTTTGATATATCTGTTCCATGACAATACAACATATATAACCAATAAGTAGAAGACTCTTCAGTCTTAGTACCACTAAACTCTCAGTAACATTGCATTCTTCTTCATGTCTTCAAACCAAAAAGTCCTGATTTCATGTGAATAATCTTTGCACTTTTCAAAAGTCAGAAACATCATGTCTTTGGATACAAAATATCTGAGGGCATGCATTGCCTAAATTATTTTAAGAATCTGAACAACAAAAAATGAGTACCCAAGCACAAAAATTTTTACAATATTCTGCATTAAATTTTTATCTTACAAAACTTTTCCAGGAACTAAACCCATTCATTAATGGAGATTTACCTATTACTAGAAATAGTTTCAATCAAAATTGAATCAACTATACATTTTAAAACAATTCAATGAAAAATACTAAGGAGTGTCAGGTGACCCAACAGTGGTATCAGATTTGAATTGTTATGCTTTTTTGGCAGGTAATATTTGATATCTGACATGTTGAGACAGAAAAATAGGTCGTACATGGTTGCAAAATACATTATTATTATTTAAATGTTTTATGAAAACTAGCTATCTTTAATAACAATGAAAAAAAAAAATTAGATACCAGGATTGGTAAGAATCAAATTAAGGTTCCATGAAAAATAAATGAACATCTGAGTAATGAACTTCAGCTGAGAATATTTAAATACAACTGTAAAAGTATCATGAAGACTATTCATCAGATGTCATTTATTGCAATACTAGCAGATGAGCCTGATATTGCTTGGGCAAAAAATAACAGCAAAGATTAAGATTATTAGATTATTTTGTACTTCTAACCCTTCTATCATATTATATTATATTATAGTATAGTATTTGATTTATATTTACAAAGGTTATCTTACATAAGGGCTTATCACACTGAGTGACCAATCTAGCATTTTAAAAATTCTTTAAATTGTGTACAGTA